TTTTTGCGAAAGATTTATGGATCTTTGGTACATTGGCCACGACGAATATCGAATTCGATGGAACGATGAGCTATATGACGACATTGACATAGTTCAGAGAGTTAAAAGACAGCGGCTACGCTGGCTAGGTCATGTTGTCCGAATGGACGAAAACACTCCAGCTCTGAAAGTATTCATGCTGTACCCGCCGGGAGAAGCAGAGGAAGACCTCCACTCCGTTGGAAGGATCAGGTGGAGAAGAACCTGGATACGCTTGGAATATCCAATTGGCGCCACGTAGTGAAAAGAATAAATTACTAGCGCGCTACGTTGTCGTATTCGACGCAGTACCCGCTGCAGGAAGCAAATTAAGAAGGAAACCTCCACTCCGTTGGAAGGACCAGGTCGAAAAGGATCTGGCTTCGCTTGGAATCTCCAATTGCGAAAAGAAGGAACAACTTTCACGCTGCTGTTAACTCGGCTATAACCGTGTAAGCAGTTTCTACGCAAGTAAAAATTAAGAAGACTGCTGAAACTGCTAGAATACTTCTTTTCCATTATGAAATCATAAAAACAATTGAAATTATTATATCTCTACCAAATTTAATAGATTTACAAAATTACTCGCTTTTTTTAGTTGACAATTTCTTTATTTTGTATTGTATGTTTTTGAAAACAACTGGTTGACAACAAAGTGCTTTCCACCTCGAGTGTTGTATTTTGTTTATGTGAGATTTGAGAAAGAACAATCTCAGAAACTAAGCCTTTCAACAAAGGTCGCAAATATTTTCCCACAAACCAGCTGCAAGGTTCTCTCAGTTATAGGGAACGAAAATACTCTTGATAAGAGTTGATTAAGCCTGTTCGTTTTGAAGTGAGAGATTTTTGTGAGTGTATGATGGGTATGCGTGCGATTGCGGTTTCTTTTTGTATGGGTTTGTACGCATACCAATCCATGTTCGCGAAAATGCTTGATTTTTCATGATCGGCATGAACATGACGCTGTGTACACACAAAAACTCGTTTTTCTCGAACTATACGAACTATTTTCCGCTTGCTGTTTACACATATTCACTCTTTAAAGAACGAACACAAAATGAATTTGTATGTCGTGTATGGTGAAACGATCGAACGCACATGTTGGTCGCGAATGGCCACTTTTACTGAATTACAAAATAGTCTTAAGTCACAAAAATTGTCTCTAATTGAAAATCTCATTTTCATAGAATTGTGACTGTACAGTCAGAATCGCTCGGTTAGAGTGCTGCCGTGATAAGACATATAAAGAACATTTTATTAATTCGGGTGTTGAGCAGTAAAGCGTTAATTTGTTAGAATTATAAATAAAGATATACATATAGTATAGTCATTAAATTGGGACGTTAATATAACAATCCGTTATCAGTACGTACTGTCATTACTTATTATTTGCGTTTTTTTTTTCATATTTAAGTTTACGATATGCTGTTTGATGGAAAAATGATACTTATTGCCAAAAAATAATAATAAATCCTTCTACACCTAATCTTACCTTAGTATCAACAATGGTTAGAGAAATGCGTGAAAGAGTAAGTACACAAAATGTAACAGATTTTAACATAATGTAACGCGCCACAAAATCTTCCAAAAAATTTTTTTCAAAAAGTACCGGTTCACTACCGGTCTTCTATATTAGACAAAATTGCACGTCCCGACCTAAATGACCAGTCCATAAGGATTATGACTAACTTATGTGAAGACATAGCTCTCACCACATTAATTAAAGGCGATTACCTCCGGCGATTTAAATTTCAATCACCACCCCGAGGTCCTCGACATAATGGTTTTAATAACAGCAGAGTCTTCTACCCCGAACTAACGTATTCCTACTCGCAAAAATAAAACTAATATCTAATAAATACATACAAAATAATCATACCGAGGTTCAATATCTAGGCAATATCCCCCATACTCCGCTCAGATTTTAAAAATCAATTCAATACTTAATAACATACCGAACGTGTCACCTAAACCACTAACCACGATGGAGGTCGACCGGTCAATACATCTAAGACAGGTTAACCACCAAAATAGACTTAGTGCCTTCCAAGAAACCACGGGAAAGTTCGCCTTCCACATAACTAGCTCACTCTTCAAATATAATACAACGAAATTTCTATACTAACACGGAAAAAACATACTTAAATGATTACCAAGATAAGTCGGGCCCGAGCGAAATTTCTTGAAGATTTTTCTCCCTATAACAATTATGATACTGCAAAATAAGATGATCTTGATCCTATTAATTTCTAGATTGACGCTGTCTTCGCTGCCTCATTACGAATTTAGAACAATATGCGGAGAAACAGTAGATTTTCTGTTTGGTAATGGTGTTATAAGAATTATATCCAATAAACTAGGGTTATGAACCCAATGGCACAATTACGATTTCTTTGGCGCTGCACTTCAAAGGTACCGTTGGAAAGATCCTCCTGATTAAGAAACATATAGGGTTATAGGTACCGCAAACGCTTAGTTTAGAGATATTCGACCTTAAAGTTCAAAAATTCGCAAAATTCGAACATTTCAATAAGCTATTTCACCTTATTTAACACACTTTATTCAGATTTTTCACTTCAAATTAATTAAATTACACTATAAACTTTTAAATAAATCCACATTTTACATTTTTATCACGTTTTTTACTTAAAAATTTTTTTTTTTTATAATTACATTTTACACTCGTTTCAACCTCATTTGTTTACCAAAAATTACAACGAAATGGATCGCTGCCGTGTGATAATAAGGCAATTCGCTGATATTCCTCTATTCATACCTTTGTATATTTTCTTTTTAAAATTTATTAGGCAAATAAGTAATATTATATACATGTATTAGTAATATTATGTAATAATATTATATATACACATGTATAAATAATATTATATAATAATAGTACGCAATAAAGTGTAAAGTATACAAGTACAGTACGAAAACTCAAATTTTAATCATAAAAATATATGTATCGGCACCTAAAATACAAAACAAAATACAAATGCAAAACAAAATCAAAAATAAAAGGAAATTGCTGACAGATATAATAACCAAAATATATTCATTTTATAACGAAAACTCAAAATTTTGTTTCAATATAAGTGCATGATAACCAAAAAATATAACTACTGTATTTCCAAAACTCAAATTTTAAATCTAGAAATACATGTATCGTCACCTAAAATACAAAACAATGTGTCATCAAAAATAAATGGAAATCGCTGACAGATATAATAAATTAAATTTATCCATTTAATAACGAATACTCAATTTTTTTTCAATATGAGTGCATGGTAACCTACAAATATAACCACTTTATAACAAAAACTCGATATATTTTTTTATTTTTAACGCAGAAAGGAGTACTACGCGAAAGTACTTCAGTCAACCCGGGTATTCACTCGGCCAGGGTTATTTTTTTAGAGCGCGGTCGAAGGCCACCAACGCAGAAGGAGAAGGATAGTATAAAATAGTAATATGTATAAAAATGTTATATTACAAGCATATAAATATTAATAATAATATTATCACACGATTTTACTTATCTGTGTTTATTAAATATAAATCACATATTATTCATATATGTATTATATGTTACTAGTTATTAAATAACCTTATATTAAGGCCAAATTGCTCTTAATGCATCAGTGTGAGTCACATTAATGAATTACATTTAGTTATTGTCTTACGACAGTTTGTAAATTAAGATGAATATTAATTAAAAGTGATTCATGGTTTTTGAGATATTTGCATTGAAAGTTCAAAAATTCAACTGGTTATACTTTTTGGTTATATTTTTGACTTTTATTCAATATTTAACTTTTGTTCATACAATAACAAAAGGGTGGCATTCTAACTAATAATCAGTGCTACCAAATCAAACGAAATAAAGAAAACATATGACAAGAAATATGTAAAACATTAATTATTAGAATTCCTTTCTGCATTAGGGGCCTTCGGCCGCGCTTCAAAAAAATAACCCTCTGTCGGACAAACACCTGGGCATGCTTAGTTTTTTTCGTTTAACTCCTCTTTGCGTTGGCGTTCTTCGGCAACGCTTCAAAAAATAACCCTCGGTTGGACCAAAGCCTGGGCGAGCTCAGTTTTTTTGCGTTGGGGGCCTGTGGCTGCGCTTCAAAAAAATAACCCTTAGTCGGACCAACACCTGGGCGAGCACAGTTTTTTTACGTTGAACTCCTTTTTGCCCGATCTTTGATACGGAATTAAAATTATTTTAGCACTATTTAATATAAAATAAATGATTAGAAACGAATTAGTGTAGTGTTAGTGCATATAAAAGTATAAAATATAAGTGTAAAAGCATTATAAATCGGAGAAAAACGCAACTATTTAAGATTTTTTGAACTTTATTCTAAGTGTGGCAAAGCTGGTTTTCCTCGTAAATATAAACACTCTAAACTTTTCAGCCATAAATTTGATAAGTAAATTTTAAATTACTAAATTTAGCTGAAAATTTACAAAATAAATGTGAGCTTATTTCAATGCTTAGAGTGTATATTGAAATATACAGATTAAAAAGCGTGAACAAATTTAGTGAAACATAGAGAAATACCAGGTGTTCTTAGTGAAAATTTTTTAACGTTTAAACGTGAATATTTAAAAAAATATTATTTTTTATTATATTATTTTTGGATATTGCTCCTCTGGAGAAGCTCCCCTATCCGCACATACCCCATTTATACGGAAATTCGATTTTACCCCTCCGCCAAAGTAAACGGAATCGTGCCCATCTTTGCAGCCATCATTCCAACGAAGCTATACCTGGACATGAACTTTCTGCAAAATATTTGTGGGAATGAAAACAGTTTTGTGAAACCAAAGTTTATCTGTTGCTGTGGATGGCATGAATACGTTTAGATGTCTGAGATAAGAGATAAGTTTGCATATGCAATATTGCCAGCAATATTAAATTGCATGTCTGGGTGTGTATGGACATAAGAGACGGCAATTATGGTAATGTAATCGAGAATCAATCGAAACAGTTTCTATTCTATATATGGGCCCTGTATAAAAAACTTAACATTTGTAGATAATTTTTAAAGATTAAACTGTTTTTAGTGCTTTATAGATTTGCGACTTTATTTTTTGAAGGAAGCATGGAAATTATTAAAGTCGCTAGGGAAACATTTTGGTCAACTCGCATATGGTTACCTCCCAATAGCACTTGGGAGGACATCGCTCCTGGTTCACACCCGGATGTGACGCACGCCGACTACAGGGATCTTGTATGGCCCATACCAATGGCGGTAGTTATTATGCTACTTCGATATGCAATTGAAAGGTATATGTGTAATATATTATTTACTTTTATTTATTATGGTATACAAAGCACATATTTTGTATACCACAAAAATGCCGGTGTTTCGCTTAATTATTGGAAACAAAAATTAGTTTTACTATATCTAAGTTGGGGTAGACCAATCTTTTCAAAATATTATAACCTTAACTTCGGATTCTACTTTTAGTTAACTAACGTATTTACGTGTAATTAATTTAAAAGTATTAACTTGTGTAATGACCGCTCCCCTTTCGTTGCTGAGAATAAAATTTTGATTACATATACATATGTATGTGTATTCATATTAATTATATTTGTAAACCGTTTATTGTATTATATTATGCGTTTTAATAAAAAAAAATATGTTTTACGTTCAACTTCTAAATTTAATCCCAAAATTCTGATTTATATTTCCATTTAATATTTGAATACACTGTTAGAAGTAACTTTTATATCTGGCCACATGATTTTTATAGGTTGACTCTAGATGATAAGATATGTTCAGTAAGGAACAAAAGTGTTCACGAATAAATGAAATTTGAATTCTCTTGCTGTTTCATAAATTTGAAACCAGTCTGGCAATATTTTTCTATTGTATTCTCAAGCGTTACGTTAATTACCAGCCGGTAGCACTTTTTTAAACTAACGGGACTTTTACTGTTTCTATGAGTCGAAGAAAACAGAAATAGTCTGTGAAAAGTTTTGACCACAATAAGATTTTGTGCACAATTGAGTTCCAAATTTAATATATATATTATAATAAAAGGTAAAGTTTACTTATTTATTTAATTAATTTACATTTAATGTTTAAATATTTAAATCCTAAGAAATAATTTTTTAGTTGCTTTATGATGGGATAAGCCGTAAATCCTGTTAAAGAACAAAATTGTGCTGGAAGACATTAAAAATTATGTTTCTTACCGAGAAATCGCAAAAAAATATAAAATTTCTCTGGGATTAATTACTAAAATAAAAAAGCAGAATGATTTAACAGTACCACGAAATAGTGGCGGCCGTCCGAAGAACTTATCCCCAGTTGCAGCACGATTAGCTAGGCGCTTAATTGTTACAGGAGCAACAAATACCGCAGTGGAAACCAATAAAATCATTACAGAGGTCCATGGAGTGAATGTCAGCGACAAAACAGTAAGAAGATGCCTAAAAAATAAAGGGCTCAAGGGTAGAGCAATGGTAAAAAAAACCTCTCTTAAGTAACAAACACCGTAAGGCTCGATTGAAGTTTGCCAAAAAATATGAATTGGAAGAGAGTGCCTTGGTCTGACGAAACTAAAATAAATCGAATAGGATGAGATGGACGTGCATATACATGGATTGATAAACAGGTTGGTTTACAGGAGCGCAACATATGCCAAACAATGAAATTTGGAGGTGGATCACTGATAGCTTGGGGCTGTTTTCGCGGAAATGAGCTGGGTGTCCTCCGGAGGATCGATGGTATAATGCGTGCCACAGACTATATTGATATTCTGGAGAACTCATATCTTCCAAGTCTAGATATATTTGGACTCGAACGTGGCCAAGGAGATATTTTCAAGCAGGATAACGATCCGAAGCATACCGCAAAAGTTACCAAATCGTGGTTTGTGGATAACGGGATCAAACTGCTCGATTTGCCTCCGCAGTCCCCAGATTTGAATCCCATTGAGCACCTTTGGGCGATTTTAAAAAGAAAATTTTTTCCATATATATTCCAAAAACGGTTAATGAATTGTGGGAGCGGGCCCTCCACGCATGGCAAAATATAAGCCCAAACATTTTAGACAACCTCATAAATAGTATGCCAAAAAGGATTCAAGCTTTAAAAAAATCGCGCGGTGGTCACACAAAATATTGACCGAACTGAAATCTGAATCTTCTGAAAATTAAGTGTTTTTAATACGTTATGTTTAACTTTGATTTGGAAGCAAATTTACTACTCTTATAAATGTATACATTATTTTTTTTGTGTAAGGTGTCTAATAAAATTTCTAAGCTTTAAGAAAAATTTTGGTATTTTCGTGAATAGTTATGTCCTTTACTGTAAATTTAGGCAAGCACGTTTTCATTTATGTAGATGTTTTGCGAAGTTTTGTGGCTACTGAAAAAATTTGATTGTTAATATTTTAGATGCTTCAGTTATTTTTTAATATTTCAGTTGTATACAAAATTTGCAAAATATAGTATAATAGCTTTGTATCTTAACTGCTAGTAGCAGCTAGCTGTCAGGACAGTTATTCTCACAAAGCGAAATAATTAAAAAGAAAAGAAACGGAAAATCAGCAGAAATTAGCAGGAAAATATCAAAGTATTTTTTCTCAACTATTTAATATTCGCATTTAGAAATAATTTAATAGAATCTTTATTTTTTTCAATGAAAGCACACACTTGTGCTTTAACAGCTGTTTCTACATATGGCAGCAGATATATTTTGGAACTATGTTCGGATAGAGGACGTTCTCCATATCAATTTTAAATCAAAAAAATACGTTTTTGAAATAGTTGTAATTTTCAATTTAAACGCAAATATCTCGAAATATATTCTTGATCTAGAGAACTTCCTCTATTCGACCATACCCATATTATTCCTAAAATCCTGGGACGGTATTCTAAAGCCAACCCGATATTTTCTGCTAATAGAAATTTCACTAGCAGCTCTCTGATCTTTTTGCTCGAAATATTTAATATATACATCCCCCCAGTTACATGTTGCCCTACAGGATATCACCTGTATATATGTGCGCAACTTCGTGGTGAAAACCGTTTGGTGCTAGGTGACTTTAACGCGCACCACGATTTTTGGCATTGCTGTCTGTCAAATTATCGTAGGGGGATGGAGCTGGCGGAATAGATTGGCGATTCGACATTCTATACAATGAATGACGAAGCCCCCACCTGAGTTATGGACACTTGTAGTAGCTCGCCTGATGTTACAATCGCTAGTGGTGGTCTGATAAATACATAGCATAACCTGGCGACTTATGCTAACTCTCTCTCTTATCGCAGCAACTACCGCTCGCTTCATACCAGCTGGACGAATAGCGGAAATCCGCCCCAACTTCCCAGCCGAAGCAGCCGTTTTAGCTTTCACCGATGAGGAGGTTCAGGGTGTTATCAACAAAGTAAAATCTTCCAAATCCAGTGGCCCTGATGAAAGCAACATGCTAATGCTAAAGCATCTAGGCTCACCAGACGCAGTTAAGCGAATTGTCCGAATGGATAAAAATTCTCCAGCTCTGAGAGTATTTAACAGTACCCTCCGGTTGAAAAGGACTCCAGCTCTGAGAGTATTTAACAGTACCCTCCGGGGGAAAAGGAGAAGAGACCTCCACTCCGTTGTAAAGACCATGCGGTGAAGAGTCTGCCTACACTTGAGATCTCCACTTGGAGCCACACAGCGAAAAGGAATAAAAACTGGCACTATAACAGCACACTCGGCTATAATTATAATTAAATATATAATCTCGAGAATTGAATATACATATGTAAGAAATTCCCAGTCACAGATACGAATACCACTTTTGTCACATATTGTTTTGTTTCATTCGTATAAATAGATTTTATGTTATATATTAAATCTATGTATATAAATAAAAATGAACCGCCAAAGTGTATTTATGTACGCTCATAACTTTCATACGACTGAACCAAATTTGATAATCCTTTTTTAATGTGGCATTTGAGGTTCAAGGCTGGTTTTTACGAATTTCGAATAATTTCCGGGAAACCCCTAAAAAAAAGCCCTTTTCTTTTTCCCATACAAACGAACGAATGTTTGTTTGTTAGTAACGCTAAGAGAACGGCCTTATACTTTTCATGAGGGAAAGACGGAAAATTGGATAGTTCCAAAAAGTAACTATTTTCCATGCAAATTTTTTTTTTCAACTTTTGTTTGTTTTGTTTTTCAATATTTTGGTTTGTGAATTATTTGATTCGTTCAATTTCGGTCGCTTGCTTTTTTATTCCGGCTATTCAAAAGAAAAATTATTGAAAATTATTCACTGAAAACTTTACATTTGTGTGTTTCACGCAAAGTGATCAATTGCAGATTGAAGTTTGTTACTAAGCCACGAAGAGGTCGCCCTAATATCGGTCGGCGTTTTTTTTTGCGAGCAACGTATGACAGCCCTAGGCAAGGCARGGCAGATGCGATGACATATGTACGGAAATATGGATCGCGGTCAATCAACAATCGATCGTCACGATGTCATAGCACAAGTTTTCAAAGACCAGTTACGATGTTTGATGGTTGTTGTTGTTGTTGTTGTTGTTGTTGTTGTTGTTGTAACGGCAGAACTCTGCCGAGTTGACAGTCCTTGGCCGGATAAAAATCCGGGTCCGTTCCGGTTTTCGTAGACCCGACTGTCGTGGGAACGGGATGTCATGATGTTTGATGGTGCTGTTGAATGCTAAATGTACTCTGTTGAGTGGCAAAAGAGATCTTTGCTGCACGTACACATTCTTCTTTTTATGGTGATTACACCAGATAAAATTGATGAAATCATTTCTGCGGAAATTCCTGATGCAGAGAAAGATCCAGCAATATTCGAAGTGGTGAAAACTAATATGATTCATGAACCTTTCGAACATTACTTTCCCTTTTCGGTTTGTATGGCTGACAATAAAAGCAAGAAACACTATCCACGTGCTTTTCTTTCGGATACAGAAACTAGAAATTATGGATATCCACTCTATCGGCGTAGCTTACCAGGCGACAAAGGCAGAGCATTGAGCATTTAATTTAGAAGAATGAATATCCAAGTTGACAACTCATGGACCGTACTATATTCACCACTAATTCTCATTCAAAACTCATATTTATGTTGAGTATTGCAGTTTGGTGTAATCGATAAAATACGTTTGTAAATATGTAACTAAGGGAAGCAACATGACGGTTATTGGTCTTGAACGAGATGAGATCAGCAAGTATCAAATGGTCGATACGTGAACTGCAATAAAGCGCTTTGTAGGATATTTACTTTTACAATTAATGAACGTTTTCCGAC